CCCCCCTCAGTCTCTCTGACTCCGCATAGAGATCCAAAAAGTCAGGCTGAAGCCACTCCCCCTGATCTCTCGGCGCACAGATTGTACACTCAGCTTGTGATATGTGTGACCGGCTTCGCGTCATTCTCCTTCTTGGTGAACCTGCTGAGGAGAGATCTGATTTTTGCACAGCGGATATATTTCATAGTTTTTGTATTGCTTGTCAAATTTATTTTTGCAGAAATAAAAAAAAAAGGCTTATTTTATATAAATGTGTTTTTATTGTCTCACTTTCATTTTGTTACCGGAGTGGAGAGAGATGAGACAACGAAAAAGACGTGAGCTCCAATCAGAATACAACATTGTGGTGATGTCATCAGTCTGCTGCAGGCGGGAGGAAGCATTTCCTCAGTCTCCACTCCCCCAGTGATCAGTCTGCTGCAGGCAGGAGGAAGCATTTCCTCAGTCTCCCCTCCCCCAGTGATCAGTCTGCTGCAGGCAGGAGGAAGCATTTCCTCAGTCTCCCCTCCCCCAGTGATCAGTCTGCTGCAGGCAGGAGGAAGCATTTCCTCAGTCTCCCCTCCCCCAGTGATCAGACTTCTGCAGGCAGGAGGAAGCATTTCCTCAGTCTCCCCTCCCCCAGTGATCAGTCTGCTGCAGGCAGACCAAAACCCAAACTTTGGGATTTGTTTTCAGTGATAACGTCCCCATTAGGAATAGAGAGGGTGAAATGGGAACACAGACAGCAATAAATACCTGCCAGGTGTTCTAATCCCTCTTCCCACCATTCAAAACTGGAAAAGACGTTTTGGCTTCAGTTGCACTTTGACACAATGCACATTAATGCACCACAATAGTGTATATGGACCCCACACCTTATAGCAGTGGTGGTGAACCTATGGCAGGCGAGCCCAGGTACAGGGACCACCAATGAAAATAGATCCGACCGCGCTGCGATCCGGGTAGGTCACAATCAGGCGGCGGCCTCTAAAAAAAGCATATTAAGCTTATTATAATATGCCTGTCTAGAGGCCGCCGCCACCGCTGCCTGATTGTGACCTACCCGGATCGCGTACCGAGGTGATCTGGGACGGGCGGATCTATTGAGCAGCAGCTACCCTCCAGGAGAGCCGCACAGACCCCTTAAGAGCCGCAGCTCCCCTAGAAGCCGCATAACCCTCCCCCCTGAGAGCCACACAGCCCTATCGAGAGCCCATACAGCCCACCTAAGAGCCCATCTGAGAACTGCACAGCTCCCCTGAGAGCCCTTCACAGACCCTGGAGACATCAGGCCTCCACTCCGGAGCAACACAGAGTATGCAGCCTTATATTTACGTTATATTAAATTTTTTTGCATTGCTGTTAAATGTATTGCTGGGATATGTAGTCCTCTATAGTTGTTATGCTGCATTGCTCTTTAATGTATTGTTGGGATTTGTAGGCTCACTTTTTTTGTGGGGCAGGAAGGGGAGTGGCGGGCCATTGAAGTGAATGGCACCGTAGCCACGCCCTCCTGCTGCAATGCGATCGGCCGCACGGGATCGCAAGGCACATTATGCCTGCGGTCCGGTGTGGGCATATAATGCTGCACTATTTTGATCTCAACGAACCGCAGGCATAATGTGCCTTGCGATCCCATACGGCCGATCGCATTGCGGCCGGAGGGCGTGGCTACGATGCCATTCACTTCAATGGGTCGGCCACGCCCCCTCCTGCCCCGCAAGAAAGTGAGCCGGCCGCAATGCGAGGCAATGCGTTCTGGCCAGAATCGGGCCGGAACGCACTGCATCTGCAGAAGCATTAAGCACAGAATTAGTTCAGACCGTCGTATGAAGTGTTTTTCTAAAAGAAATCATCAGTATCCGGGTCTAAGTGTGGGGGTTGGCACGTTGAGATACATAAATTGGTTTAGTGATCCAGTTTGGGCACTCGGGCTCAGAAAGGTTCGCCATCACTGTGCTATAGGATATAATAAACAACAAGTGACCCCTTATAGCAGGGGTAGCCAAACTCCGGCCCTCCAGCTGTGATGGAACTACAAATCCCATGTGGCATTGCAAGATTCTCAAAGCTACAGACAGAGAGCGAGATCATGGGATTTGATGTTTCACCACAGCTGGAGGGCCGGAGTTTGGCTACCCCTGCCTTTATAGGATGGCAGACAAATCCCCCCCCCCCCCCGGCGCTCCCCCATCTTCAAACTCTCGGGCAAAGCACC